TGCAGTCTACCCTGGATAGGAAAACCTTTTGGGAAAGCAAGGCTATGTTAAGTTCAATGGAAACGTTAGCTCTACTCATATCATTCTGGGAAAATTCTAATACCAGTTCTTCATCATCTTAAACGAAATGGAGTGAATATATCTCATATACTTTAAGTTGATCACTTTAAACTTTCAGTGTTTCAAATCTTAAGTAATCTATGCATCATTGTTAATGATAATAAAGGATATGGCAGCATGAACTACACAAATTTTGCTCATACTTACTGTAGCTTGCTAGACCAAAGCCGTTTTTCCTTTTTATAATATACTTGAGGCTATGTATGCAGCTGCAAAATGAGTCTCTATACGTAATTAACAATATTTCACGAAGGCCAAAGATAGTGTATATGACATCGAAAATACAAGCTTGCAGCAACATTAAGGAGATTCACCAGAAAATGGGTTCTTTCCCTGCTTTGAGAGACCAAGAAACAAATCTCCTTTACTAGCACCCTCACTGGTAAAAAATATCTAAAACAATATCTTAGAAGGAAGAAATGTTTAAGGGCATTGTATTAAAATAAAGCCAATATTATGCACTCATTAAAGCGGTTATCTCCTTTAGTTTAATACTGATGTAATCCTCCTCGCTTTATTAAATCCAAAGGAAATATGAATAACAATAAAACGAAAATAAAATTTAATTGGCTCTTACTTCCATTTCCTTTACAAACTGATTCAGATGTTTTAACTGAAATATTTGGGACCAAGTAAGCCAGCAGTTAGAAGGTTCCGTTGCCAAAATGATTGGCTGGGCAGTAACCTCCACGTAGTCGAGAACTTGTGCCAACTGAGGTTAAAAATAAGGGTAAAATCTAATAAGAAATGGCAATATAGCTGAAATGGATAGACCTGAAAGGACACATTCTTTATATTCTGACAAAATGCAGGGAAAAGCGATTAGAACATTTTTTTAATGATATAACTAAGAAGATTTAGGTTAAGCAAATATCAAGGCGTAACGTTTTTGGCAATTCATACATACGTGAAGATGCTTGCTAGTAAGGATGCTCGCTTTAACACAAAAGGAAGTCAAGCAAAAGGTAATAAGCTAAGATGAAGTTATTCATACTTGTGATATTATAAATACTTCTTGAAAAAGAATTTGGCGATCCTAGGTAGTTAGAGGCTATTTAAAGACTGATAGATGAGTTCTCCCACAAAGTTATAAGTAGGCCTCAGAATGCCATTGAATTTCCCTTAGCTTTTATTACAAAAATGCTATTTTAAACCGGTCGGACGGCCGTTTCGACATCATCTAGGTCTCGTCAATACCCCAAATGGATCCAATATCGAGTAGTGAATACCATGGCGAAGTTACCACACCACTACACATTAAAGCCGACTAGGCTTCTCCTAACTTATATTTATAGAGGGATTGTCGATAAGATAAACATATATTTACCATTACAGTCGACAATATTACCTATTTTTGATTAAAATTGCGAATACATGTTTATTTTTCGATTATATAAGGTTTTCAAGAATACCAGTTGATGATATACATTTGATGTATTCACCCTATTTCCTCTAAGGTGATGAAGGACTGGTAGTTGAATTTTCACACAATGAAATTAGCAGGAATTATGTTTCCCCTAAATATTATATAATCTTGCTTCTAGAAAAGTATTTTTAATCCAGATTGGAATATCATCTAGACTTAGCCTAGGTCTCATCAGCAATTTCAGAGGGACTCGAACCCTAGAAGTGCATCGAATATCCTCTAAAAGTTATCTACTACACCAGACTACTAAGAGTGTCCTTGAGTTATAGGGCAGAAAGTGATTTAAAAGAAGCTTGGGAATTTCTGACAAAGCAAAGTTGTACTTGCTCTAGCGATCGACTACATTACTGGAAAATAAGTAATGTAATCGATCGCTACAGCAAATAAAACTTTGTTTCATTGACAATTCCACCACAGAATGTGATATAAGAAAAGGCCTTGACTTCCCCTAAATTCAAATCTGCCTTGTGACACAAGTACACTTGTGGCAGTGGTTAACATGTCGGGATTATATGCTGCACTTTCACTACCTGAATGAGAATAGCAGTTAGGAGGTATGGCTATGGAATATCTCAACTATGAATCCTTAAGTCATCTTAAACGACCTAGGGCGACTAATTTATTATTCAAGTAATTGACCTAAGCCAGAAAACATTAATTTTCAATTCATCAACAGCCTTATCATCAATATATTTAGAAGTTAAATATGAATACGCAAAACAATGCTCCACTAGCTGTGGTTCTTAGATCATAAACTAGATAGTTTTAATCGAGAAAAATATTTTAACGAAACATACCAGTTTCGTTAAAGCTGTCGTTACATCATCAGTCTCCAGATGCTCCCAATCGTTTTTTAGGTCCACGATCAGTTGGCGAACCCCGGCCGTATCTATAAGAGGACCAGAGAGCCCAAGTTGGTCTAGAAGACAGCTATAACTGCTGCCAGTATTGGTGCTAATAGCCGTAACATTGGTATCAAATTCAGTTGTCGTAGCCTCTATAGCAAGCGATTGCTGGCCTATCGGCCCTTCATGGCAGAGCTCATTGAGTCCATGAGATGGATTCATAACACTAAGATTGGACATTGAAAAAGGGACGGATGTTGAAGTAGAAACCGAAATTGGAGATTGGATGGCAGCCTCTAATTTTTCTATTAGTGGCTGCAAAAGCAACTTTTTCTGAATGACTATCTCCTTCATCTGACGGCGCATAGTAGCCGAAGTTTTAGCAAATTTGGAGACTAGTTTTGTTTCTTCTACCTCCTCGTCCTTTTTCCAATCCGTTTTCTCCTGTTGACGCTTCTCAACTTTTTCATTCTTCTCTTCGATATTGATTTTCCATCCTGTCTCAGTAAAACTAGTAGATGCTGACTGACCAGGAATTTTAGCATTCAGAGAAGACACGTCGACAGATCTTGGGATTGTGACTGTATAATCTGGAACGACTCGGGAACAAGGCGAAGTCCAGCATGAGTTGCTGTTTGCATGAGAATATTTATCATAGTGATGATCACGGGGTGGATAGAGCTGGTCATGATAGTGGCTATGAAGGTCGGTGCGCATTTGACCGATCCAGCTAGCCAGCTGCATAGCCTCGAGATGAGCCTGACGCAAGCGCTGTCGTAGACTGGTAAGCCCCTCCAATCGACTGTCCACATTTTGCTGAAGATCTGCTAGTTCAGCCTGCACTTCATAAAGAGCCCCAGCCAGATAAATCTAGACAATATGCAAAGGCAGATCAATTGATGCGAATATGGGATAGGAGAAAAGATAATATTAAATAAAATAGTGGTTCGCTGCATGAATGCTCAAATGGTAAGATGCGAATGAAAACAAATACATAGAAGTACAGTAGCTATTACAGTATAAAATATGACAGTATAAACAATAAATAAAAATGATTTTTAATTATTTTGCGTCTATGCTTCATATCTTCTTATATTAATATTCGTACTTGTAAGTTCCCTTCTATTTATTCTGACATTAATGCAGTTTTTACTAGTGTGGGATGTTGCAATCTTGTATAAACCTATACAACCCTTTAGGGGTTATTGAACTTCTGTTCCCTATGCGACTCAGAATACTAATACTACCTTTAAACCAATACCACACTCTGAATTTTTTATTTGTGAGTTAGGAAAGGCCTGGCCTCTCCTTAAATGTCGCACCTGCGACCTATTAGAGCCAATTGCCGTGTAGTGGTAATATTGCCACGATACTCGCGACTCGATATCGAATCCTATTAAAGTTGCTGATGGGACCTAGACGAAATCGAAATTGTAGTCCGCCCTGGATGGTAGAGCTTTGGAAAGGCAAGCCTAAGAGCCTACTCATCTTATTGTGTAAAAACTCAACAATCAGTCCTGAAATTATCTTAGGCAATCTAGAGTGACCAAGCTCTTACAAAGGAATTATTGATAGTCTCAAAAAACCTATTTAGAAAAAACCTCTTCTAGTTTAGAGGTTGTTTGACCTTGTTTTCGCAACATGGTCATATTGGTAGGTAGACTTATTGGAAAGCACCTGGTCCGGGGTCCATTGTCTGCATGATCATTTCCAAAGTTGAACCATAGACGTGGTAAATTCCTAAA